CGTAGGTGCAATCAGCCAAGCTTGATATTCTTCTGCTCCTACGACCCTTATTGGTTGAAACGCCTGTGCAGCTTTTAGTTATTAATTTTCTCGATTAAAATCATTCTGCGGATTCTAAGGTCAATAAAATACGAAAAGTTTTTTATCGTTGTGATATTGGCTGCCTTTCATGATTGGGAGCAGTTTCGCGTATCATGCCGCATTGTTTCTGTTTCTATAATATCAGCGAGGAGTGGTATTACGTTACCAAAATCTATTGTGGTATGTTAGCATGACATATAGTATCCTGTATTTTTGCCACTTATTAGTGCTTATTCACCTACCTCAGGAGGAGCCCAGGATCTCTCATTTCATTATTTAATACTGTGCCTACTGAGCAATCCTGATCTACTGGAAAATCATGGGGTCAAATAACTGAAAAGTACAGCATACAATCCCGGAGACGGCCAAGAATAATCTGGAGCAAGTGTGTGGAAAGACTGCGCCAGACTCGGATTATCTTCTGCAGAATCTAAAATGCAGGCACATAGTCAGAAACAGTGTAACGCATCCTTATATTCGACCCAAGCTGATAAACAGCTGTTGAAACTGACTGACTGATGTGATTTGTATAACAACACGATAGGGATATGAACTTATTGATTTGACGATTTTAGATTTGTTTTTAAAATGTTTGAAATTTATATATTGGTGGTTTATAGACTTAACGCCTATCAAATTTTTGCTATGTGATTAGTTAGATCCCGTTATTTAGTCCTGCTGGTGTGTTTCTTGCTTTTCTGAAGGTGTAAAGCCACCGTGTGACTCTCTTCTGTTTTAATTTGCATCATAGCCTTTCGTCATTTAGGAACTTTTTGCGGGGATAACGCACGTTTTCGGTTTTATCCCATGAAACTAATTTTTTCCGTGAATTTTCTCTTGTTCTAAGCGTTGTTCCTTTGACGTTGTTTCTAACGTTAACAGCATATCTTCTAGGAAGCTGCTGACTAGCGCAGATTTAACGCTGATGCCCGGACGCCGTTACGGTCTTGTGGGTCGCAATGGTATTGGCAAAACTACCCTTCTAAAGGTTCTTTCCAGGTAAGCCGCGTCAGCACATTAAAACAGATGATTGTTGGTTTCAACTCGTTAACTTTTTGCAGCGGTCAGCTGGTGATTGGCTCCAATATTCGCGTTTTGCATGTTGAGCAAGAAGTGAACGCTGAGGACACTACGGTGCTGAACTGTGTTCTTGAATCTGACGAGAAGCGCCAGATGCTGTTGAACGAAGAACGACTGATCGAGACGTCTTTGTCCAAGGAATCTCCGTAAGTAGTCTGGCGCACATTCATCTCTTACTTGGGTTTCGACTCTTGTTGAACTCTAACGAATGTGTTTAGAACAAACGGACCATTGCTTGCTCGATTGAAAGAGATTTACGAAGAAATGCAAGCTTGCGAGTTCGACAAGGCCCCCGCCAAGGCAGCCTGTATCTTGCATGGTCTTGGCTTTAAGTTGGCTGACCAAAACAGGGCCACGAAGTAATCAATTTTTTTTATAACGGTAACATGAATGATCGAAATCGCGGATTTAGGGAATTTTCAGGAGGATGGCGAATGCGAATCGCCCTAGCCAGGGCACTCTTTGTAAAGTAAGACAAAAACGTTTTCACGTATCACCGCTGAATGATCACTGTTATATTTAGACCTGATCTGCTTTTGTTGGATGGTACTGTAAGCCACTGGTTATTTCATTTAAAAAGTTTATAGTGCGTGTTTTTCAGAACCGACAAACATGTTGGACATGAAAGCGCTGCTGTGGTTAGAAAATTACCTCCAGGTAAAGTGATGTTGTACTCTTCTCACAAGCCACGTTGTGCAATATAATTCATTTACGTCTAGTTACCCATAAATATTAGTTTTTTATGTTCGCTGAGATCATTACGTTGAGCTATTTGCATTAACAAAACGTCGTTAGTGTGTGAGGTCTTCTGTATTCTAAACTTTTTGAATCTTGCCTTAAGACACCAGTTGATGCCTCATGAAGGGTCAATTTCTCTCTGTAAGCAGGTGTGCCTCTACTAGCTTAAGCGCTCAGTCAGATTGTTTGACAGGTTCAGGCTTTTTTCTTAATCTTTCCATCAACTTAGGTCACCTCTGTCCAGAGCGAAACATTTCTTATATGATCCTGCCATTTTCCCATTAGTTGTTGTCTCTGCCGATTTCTCTAACAAAGCTGTTCAAGGTGAAACCTGAAGGAGTGTCGTTGCTTAATCTGATGACCCTGACCACTTTCTAGGTTTTTGGTTATCCGGGATTCATTACAGAAGCAATCACTTAACTCAAAAATCTTTCTATCCACATCAGTTGATGCAAATCAGTTACCACCATAAGCAAGAAAAAGTCAAATGACATGATTCTGACGTTCATTTGTAGCTGGCATAAGTCTTCAGATATTTTTATACTTGACATGTCCATCAGCTTCAGCTCCCGATATTTCTATTTACCAACTATCGATCGATGTGTGCTGTCCATTTCTGCTTTGTTGTAGACCATGTCGATGCAGTAACAGTCTACATTGGCGGCATATGTAGAATTTACACTACTTTTGGCTTGAAGCGCGTTAACGAACAGGAAAGAGCAGAATCTGAATTTTTTACCTATTAAGCTAGTGTGAGTAGCGTACTGAATGACCGGAAACGAATTACCCTGATTATCACCGATTACGGATTGGTCAAAACGATTTGTGGTAAATAAGCAAATTTTTTGTCATTCGTACTGCCAAGGACCATGGAATCAGAAGACTCCACTTCCCTGACTGTACTTTCCTCGGTTTTAGAGTAAAAAAAATTTGTTTCTGCACGTTTTATCCTAGTACAGTAGGCACTAGGTAGTAGGATAGTTCATGACCGAGCACCATTGTGTTCAGAAAACAGCAACATTCCAGCATGTTCGACTTGTTTTTTAGTCCGTCTAAGTACCAGCAAATATTTTTTCCGTTGCTGTCGGAAAGAGTAGGACTCCTGTTCCATATCTTTTGAGAAAGTAGCAAATGGCTGTTTATATTTATTTCAATAGGATGAAATGCCGGTTTCTTGCCTATCCTTGATTGGTGCCATTTGTGAAGATATTCTTTCTTTGTTGTTTTGTAGCTACACTGGTAGTCTCTGCGATGCAAGCAGCCATCAGTGTCTTATTATTGTAGGCAGTTCCTACTTCTGGGCGCTAATTGCATCGTTTATTGCCGCGTACTTTATCTAGTTTGTGGTACTCATTACATCGGGAAGATGAAATGCGAACAGAATGGTCAGTATTCGAAGCATGATTTCTTCACCGTGAGATCAACGTTCTGGGGACTAGCTAATCTCTTGATAACTTGTTGATTATAGTTTTATTAGAATGACTTCTGATATCTTCTGAAGTGAAGTCCTTAAATAAAATCATGTATAAGAAGTAGCGAGAGTTGAGCTGGAGTTTTAGGTCTATTTATCTTCCTTGGTTCACAGATACACGGAGTCGTGGTCTGGTGAAATGCCCATCCAAGGTAGCTGTTTGAAATGTGAGAGTGCACTGCGTTTTCAAATTTTATTTGAGAAGCTCAGCAGTATATCAAGTCATTAGGGATTACGAAGCAAAGTTTTGGTTGTATCGTGAAAGCTCACCGTCTTCTGCAACGTCGCTCGTGATGCGCAATAAAATCGTGAGCCATCCGCCTAGTCTTGAGTGCTCGAACTGTCTCCTGTATGAATTTGTCCTAGCAACTGAAAGCGAGTTTCATTCCAGAAATTGAAAGAGTAAGGGACTCTATTATATCCCTTTTTATGTGCTGCAATTTTGATATCCTTCCTCGCTCTACTGTTCAATTCATTTTAATGTATCCTACTGATTTCTGCACATGGTAGCTTCCTTAAGTCTGTAGTAAAGTCTTGGACAGACCTTCACCCTTCAGTGCATCCGACAATGACCAATAATGGTGGATTTCTATTTGGCTTCTGACCAGCATGTGCATCTGTTTAATCAAGCCGTAAACCTAGTTCTAGGAGTTATATATATAGTTATAGTACAGTTTCTGTTGTTTGCTAATTTTTCTTCTTTTCTAGGACTGGTCATCGACATTACTAACCGTTTCGCACGACCGATGTTTCCTCAATGCAGTTGCCACCGACATCATTCACATGCACAGTCAGCGGCTAGATTATTACAGTGGAAACTACGACCAGTTCGCCCATGCGAGGGAAGAGAAATCACTAAATCAGCGGCGTGAATATGAGGCACAGAAGCAGTTTCGTGAGCATGTGCAGGTGATCAGTTTATATTTGCCTGTGATTGAATAACCATATGTTCTAGTCCCTCTTTCTCTTTTCAGTCAGAAAAGTTAATTACTCTCCTCGCTGCTTTTCTTTGCATGTCGCTTCTTATAATTGTGGCGCTTATACTGTGAATCTGCCAACATTAGTTTATGACCGACTTTAGAAGTTATTTTATAAATTACTTGTATCATATTGTAACAGTGCGTACTTAATCAAGTCTGACACCGACAAAGGACATTATTTGAAAATTTTGTTTAAAATTTGCTATTCAGTTATTTTTATTATAAAATGCGTTATATTGGAATCATGTTGGAGAAGTTGACGTATTATCGGGGTCGCATTTACTTGTTACTGAAATTTAAGGAAGAGGTCGACCGGCGGATTGGAGTAGTCAGTGGCGTTTTGCATGAACTTGTCCGAACCATTGTGACAAAGGCAAAGCTGAATCTTAAGATTAAGCTCTAGGTGTTCAAGTCTATCTTCATCCCCATGCTTGCCTACGGCCATAAGTCGTGAATGATTACTGAATAACTTCAATCCCGGGTACAAGCGGCTGAAATGGTTTTCCTCAGTCGCTTCCTTAACGCGTCTCGATATTGTCCAGAATACAGACTTTTGCGGGAGCTTTGGTGTACAGGCGCTGCTTTTTACGTCTAAGAAGTCACAGCCGCAGTTGTTTGGGCATTTGTTGCAAATCCTTCCAGAAGGGTAGGCGCAGCAACTATTTTATGCCTAGTTGACCGATCGAACGCCCAGAGAACTTTCAAGATTAACCTGGTACAAATGTATGGATAGAGTCTGCTCCAGACTCCAGTTGTCTTCTACCGAAGCTCGGACTCTAGCAGAAGATCAGGAATGCTGTGAGCACTATCGGACGCAGCTACCTCTACGGCCCGAAAGGAGACGCGGTTATGGTAACCGAATGAATGAATAAAATACTTTATTTTGAAGTTATTTAAAATTGCAGAGAATGGAATTAATTCAGGATTTTGTAATTTTATCTTTTCCTCATGTCATTTAACGGGTTTAATCGTTGTAGTAAGCGATCGCATTTCAGGAAAACGTTGGTTGATTCTGTTCCTCTCAGCTGCTGCTGTTACCGTATAATGTTATCATTGAGCTACTTCAGTCTCTTTGCCATGCTTGATACGAGACAGAATTTACACGCATCTTCTGTGCTATGGAAGAATTATTTTGTATTATTACGTGCCATATGACGTGAGGGTAGCACCTTAATAAAATATACCGTCGTAAAAGTTGATTTCTTATTAGTGCATCATGCCATACTATGGGACAAGAAGAATTGCAGTAGCGGTCACCTAAGTGCACAACGATATTCAGTGCTGACAACATATAATTCTGTCGAGATTATTCTACTCTGACTGAAAGCTTTCTCTTTTCAGGAGTTTATCGATCGATTTCGGTACAACGCGAAGCGCGCGTCATTGGTTCAGAGTAAGATCAAGATGCTAGAAAAATTGTAAGCTGTACTTGTAGGTTTTACTTTGAGTTTGGTTGTCATATGTGTCTTTAGACCTGTTTTGCAGCCAGTAGAAGTGGATAGCGTGGTACATCTCAGGTAACAACCATTGTGACCATCCAAGTGAATCACAAGACTGTTTAATTTGCAATTTCTGTTAGGTTTCCTCCGTGCGAAGCCGTGCATCCACCGGTATTGCAGCTGGACGAGGTGTCTTTCGGATATGTCAAAGGGTCGCCGATTCTTGAACATGTAAACATCAGTGCAGACATGGATTCAAGGATATGCGTGGTAACGGTCTTAAACAGTTATATGGGTGCGTCTTGTTGTTTGAACCTTTGCTGTGATTAACACGTGAACCATATGCCTGAGCTAAAGGTTTTTATTTTATTATCTCATCTTCATCCTCTGCAGTTCTGCCACAAATTACGTGTTACTGCATCGTAGAGGAAACAGTTCCCTTCTGAATGCAGATCTCTGTACCTTGTCCATCTGTGTTGCAACGATCTTATGGTCGACATCAGCTATATTTCGGCTGCTGCATTAGAAGCTCTTGGGCTTGAGTAAATGGTGGATGCTCGACCAGTTTGTCGGCAGAATCGACTTCAGTTTTTTGATCTCCACATCTACTGATGCTGCCTGTGCTCAGAAGTGAATGGTCATTTATTACCTGATGCTGTTATTTAACCATCAGGTTATGCTTATGCTTGTGCATAATTTTTAAGGTCTGGTAGGTCATCCAGTGGAGTAAGTAACTTGGGGTCAAGAGGTCTTGTAGTCCAGTCTCAATGGGGCTATTGGACTGTCATCCATTTGTAGACAGTAAACAGACGACGCTCTTTTGGATATCATACTGTCAAAGATACCGAATTCTGATAAGTATGTCACTTCTGAATGGTAGCATCTAATTAGTGGTAAACACCATATTATGCTTATGATTAAGAAGTGTCCATAAGCTATCTAACGTTTGAAATATGCGGGAGACCGTTATCTTCGTATGTCCTAGTGATACATGGTTTTCTTTTTTAACGTTTTACCCTTGGGTGTACACTAGTTGTTTCATTCAATAACAAAATAAGTGTCTACCTCGTTCAGATGGATAGCGACGTAAATATAGTACTTTGGAAAAAGTGAATACGCTTGAGTTTTCAGATTTTGTCCATTTATTTGGTGCTAATGACATTTTTCATTTCTCATCACGTTATCATTCATTAATGTTGTCCAGATCTTACGTTCTTCATGTCTGTCGCATTCTTTAATGGCTCCCAGGCGTTCATCCCTGAGTTGTGATTTTTGTCCTTCTATAAGACTGGCTTGTTTTGTAACATATATCGAGTTCTGTCCGTATGCCTTGTTAGCCGACTGTTTTAGGGTTCATAACTATAGTAGCGACGGGTAGGAAATATATACCCCTTGGTAAATGTTCCTCCCATGCGATACTGTATGTTCATTTTTGCCTGTTCTTCAAAACAGGGAAGGCAAGTTTCTGTAACAGTTTTAAAATAATTGCCAAAAATATTACCTTGTTCATTTTTTATATCCTTTCAGCGTTTCTTCTCACCTGCCCTCGTTTGTAGGCATACCAACTCAAATCGGCGCTTCACCACTTTTGTTCGTTTCTACGTCGTTTATCTTTGTGAGTGGTTGTTCAATAGTCCATTCACTATGTCATCTCTAATGTATTGTAGTCTGGGTTTTCACCCTTCATCCAGTCCAAGGGGTACATTAAAATAAGGTCGATTGGCAACTGGCACGAAGCACCTCCTCTCAACTTTCAGGGACTGATGCCTGAACCACTTCCATATTCGTGATTAGCCAGACATTTTTTGTATAGACTGTAGTCAGTCCTAGCAGATGCATTCGGTACATGTTGCAGTGTTTAGCATTTTAATGGTTACTGTTGTTGGCTCTGCGCTCTACCGTTTTTTTTTTCATTTCTAGGTAGGAGAAAACGGAAGTGGAAAAACCACCCTTCTGAAAATTGTACTAGGATTGATCGAACCAACAGAAGGCCTGCGAAGCGTGAATCGTCGACTGAAGATAGCCTACTTTTCACAGCATCACGTCGACCAGCTTGACTTGGACATGTCTCCGTTGACTTTTTTCCAGTCTAAATTCCCTGGTATGTAGTTTCTTTGTTGTCGAATTTTGTTAACTGTCGTAATATTTCAAATACTGATACCGAATTTACATGGCGAAAATATGCCATGTAAGGTAAGAAAATATATTACTTTACGCTAGTGCAGCGGTAGTGTAAGACAGATGGGTTGTAATCATTGCGCCAGGTTATGCCACAGTAAGGCACCGGCCTTTCGCTTCTAGTCGTTTCAGGGGACCATTTAAGCAGGCCCCGTCTCCGTGGTAATTTTCAGCGTATGACTCAGTCACTTAGTTATGTTGAACAGGGGCATCTTCAAACACTAACAGGGTTTGCCACTATCCGTCAGTAAATATAATAAAATAAACCATAATCCTGATGTCGTAATGTGTAATGGTACATTTTCACGTAAATCCGGTATCAGTATTTGAATCGTAGCGTTAATTGGCT